ACCCTAAGAACCACAGGGGGACGCTCCCTTCTGCAGTCTGATGGGAAACAAGGCACACACAGCTGCTTCAGAGGCTGGAGTAACCTGGTAACCGTCCCCGAGGCAAGAACCTCGGGTGAGCTCGCAAACCCAAGTCTGCTGCCTGGAGGTACACACTGGCTCAGGGCTTGAATCCTGGCTCCAAGGGTCTCCAGGGGAGCCCGCCCCGAGCGGTGGGGCAGCATCATGCTCCCACAGTCCCCGTGAGGTATGAGCGAAGCGCCAAGGTGCGCCTGAGTGCCCCAGACAGGGGGTGGCCGTGAGCTGGGCCGTCAGGGTGGGGGCCGGGGGGGGTGCGCTCCCCACGAAGCAGAGAGAGTTACTGGTGCATCTGAAAGCTGATTGGAGACTGTGAAAATATGTTTAGGGAGATGGCATAATATGGAAGAAATGTGTCCACTTGATGCATGGGGAGGCTGAGACGCCAGACGGCTCTGTTGGCTAAATTTAGCTGAAGCGCTCTTTATTCAAGAACCATGTTAGCAAATATATAACACAGAGGACACGTGGGGGGCACTGCCTTGCATGTCCACCGCACAGGACGCCAGTGTGTCTGCAGCACTGCTGTCCTCTGGCGGTTCAGGGTGTGCAGCCAAAAGCACGGCCGCGAATGCTGACGAAGCACAGAAGGGGGCAGGTGCTGTCTGGGGTCCTTGTACCTCGTCTGGAGGCTCCTGATACTCAGGAGAAAGAGACCTCCCACCCAGCCCCACTGAGACCTGTGATGACTGCAATGTTTCTAGGCGTTACCGTGTTTCACCAGCTTTCAGCCTGCCTGGGAGGCCGGAGTGGTGTAGACATTGGGCAGCAGACAGAGACCTGCGGCGAGGAGACGGGCCCCAGTGGGCACTCAAGAAGGAGCCACAAGACAGCCTTTGCTGCGGGAAAACAGCCAAGAGACCGGGGTCAGGGGAGCCAATGTGCTGAGGTCAAGGGAGCCTCAGGGTGCAGCGGGCCTGGGGGACAGTGGTTTCGACGGGAGAAGAACATGGACAGGGAAGGTCTGGCATGGCAACCAGGGGCCTGTGACAGAGTCCGAGCCATGCATGGCCAGCTTCAGGGTCCCGCTGTGGCTTGTGGGAGCAGGAAGGGGAGGTCCAGAGCACCGCCAGACCCGGCTGCCTCGGCCCACAATGAGAAGCCGCTCCCCTTCCTGTCACATCGGAGGGGCCTCTGGGGTCTTCGGGCAGCGTCTTCCTCCGTGGTCTCCCCATTCCTGGGGTGGCTTTACCTTCCATTCCCTCACCACATGGAGCCAAGCCTGTGGCTTCTGTGGAGGCTAATTTTTTCCCCTTGAATTTAATTAATCCTGAAGCCAACAAAGTTTGCACGCGCAGCACCCAGAGCAGAGTCGGCCTGTGTGAGAGCAGGAAATCCAATTAATACCAGGGAGCCGGGAGGACACGGAGCTGCTGATAAGATGAGGAGCGACATCGGAGGCCAAGGTCGCCGGGCTGCCCGCCAGCCCCCGGCCCCCAGCCACGGAGCAGACCCAGCTGGGGCAGCGACCCGCTGGGCCCTCGGTACGGCCGACACCGCGTGGTTCTCGTCCTCGACACGATCCCATCAACAACCAAGTATTCGGAGTATGTGAACGGCGGAAACGGCTGTCAGGAAGACAAGTTATGCACTTTGGTTTCGTGCCATCATTCTCTTCGCTGCCACACGTTAAATATTTTGATTTTCTAATCCATTAGGAGGGAATATGCATTCACGATATTTGTAAAATCTCTGAAATGTTTAATTAAGAAGAAAAATAGCTCTTCAAACTGGATGGAGAAGTATTAGAGAAGCAGAGACACTCTGTGCTCCCTGCCGGTGGGGTTTACTGAGTCACACACTTCCCGGAGGGCCTGGAAGACTTCCCCATCAGTTTTCCCGGAAATGCCACCTACGGTGTGACCCAGGGGACGCCTGGAAGCAGGGGCGGCCTCGACTGGTCCAGCAAGCCAGCGTCGCCTCCAAGATCAGCTCTCAGCACCCGCCCTCCCACGGCGACTCCTCTATAGCCACAGCGGACCTGTAATAACCGAGGATGCACTTGGACACCGCTGTTCCCAGGACACGTGTATTTGTGGGATGGATGAAAGAGGACAGGGACCTGCAACTGGCTGTGGATGACACTGCTGTGGGGTGCACTCTGCTTCTACCCCACGGGGTGGGCGGGTGGACATGGGGGGTCAGAGCCCCTTGCCCCTAACCACGGAGGCCCAAGACTGTCCCAATCCCCAGGGCCTGTCTTCTGTGCCTGGAACGGTCTGATGGCCTCCAGCAGGGCTGTCCAGGAGGCGGGTGATGGGGAGCCACTCCTGCAGCCCTGGCCACCATGAGGAGGGGCATCTCCATTCCTGGTCCCCAGAGCACTTCTTGCTGCAGCAACAGTTCTGAAGGAAGCTGGGGGTAAACTCGGCCCCAGCTCGAGACTTATCCTTGGAAAGCCAACAGAAGCATCTCCTGGTTCGTCATCACATAGCCAACAGCAAGAGGGGGCAAGTCTCAAACCTGAAATCCTCGGGCATCCTCCTATGAAAACGCCTTCTGAGTTCAGACTTGACCTCGGCAGGTCACTGACACTGGGCTTCGCCCTGGGGGACCTGCACTTGCGGCCTCGGTCACATAACTGCCCTCCCTGTGTCTTCCAGCAGTGGTAGCTAAATGGCTTCCAGAACCCCGAGACCCCAGGGCCTTCCTGTCCCACAGATAACTCACGAGGGACTGACATATCACCGAGGCTTCTCGCTGAGTCAGTAAACACCAAAGCGACGTGAAATATGTCCAGGGCTGAGCTCGGCCCTGGCAGGTAGGCCTCACCTGGCCAGTGTGCAGAGCCCATGTGGCCACACCCCACGCCAGCAGGACAAATGGCTCCCGCCACCGACAGCACACAGCCCAGGAGGAGGTCAGGAGGAAGAAGAACCAGGATGTTCTGTGGTTCTGGGTTCTGAGTACGTGACATTTCAGTGATGTCCCAGGAGCTGTCCTGTAACTTGGCTGCGGTGCTCACAGACGGCTCATGTGTCCTGAGGGATGTGCAGGATGTAATGCAGGTGGGCAGCAGGTGCACATGGGCCCCACAGAGGCTCCCTCTGCCAGAGGGGCTGCTAGCACCCCCCCCACCAGGCATTGCCTGCAGCCTGCGGCTGCTCGCAGAGAGCACGTTGACTACATCTGACATGGAAAATCTCAGTGACTGCACAACAGAAACAGAGCTGGGGCCTCCAACCGGGTCACACCCGAGCCTTGGTGTCTCCATCGGTAAGGTGGACTGTCACCAAGACGCACCCAGACAAGGGGCGGGGGCTGTGCATGACCATCGGGTGTGAGACAGTGAGGTCTGCATGTCACACATAAAGGGTTGTATGTACGGAGATGCAGAATCAGCTTGATCGAGGGGCTCATTTTACAATTTACATACATACACGCATCCAACATCATCCTGCACGTGGGCGTGCCATGGAGACACGTTCGTTCCAGACCGTGCAGCACAGCAATTTCCCAACAAAAGGGGTCCAGCGACTTGTTTGCTTTCCTGGGGCTTATAAGACCTACGTTCCTACCACACTCTAGTCTCTTAATGTACCAGAATGTCATGTCTGTGAAAATGATGAACGTAGCTTTAAGATCCTTTATTGTTAAAAAATGCTGATCATCACCTGAGCTCTCCGTGCATCCTAACTGCCAATCACAGGCGACCGTAACAAATATAATGATCACAAGAATGTTCGAAATACGGCCTGAATTAGCAAAACATGATGCAGGGAGATGAAGAACAACTATTGTTAGACGACTGGCCACTGTGGACCCTCTGTCAGCGTCGCCACAGCCTTTGGTTTGTAAGAACACAGTACGCTCCAAGTGTGACACAGTGAGGGACGCCTGGGGTGGTCCCACGTCATACCTCAGGAACACTCGGCAGGAAGGCCTACATGAGACTGTGCTGAGGAGCGACCTGGCTCACACGTGCCCAGCACCACCTTGGCCACAACAGCATCACTTGGACACTGGCTGAGACGGAAGGACTTCCATTTCTAGAACTTGGTAATGTGGTGGCAAAGGAACCAGCTTTATACCCCAAATTTTAGTGAGGAGAGCAAACACATGGAAGACGAGCGGATCCCCTGGAAACGGGCGTGACCGTGAGGCCAGGTGCTGGGAAGCCCCTCTGGCTCTCTCAGAGCACCTCAGCACGTTCTCACCCAGTGGGTGCTTGCAGGGGAGGCGTGGGCACAGCTCGATTTCAGGCTCACAGGGCGTTCGTTCACCTGGGGCTAACACAGCCTCAGGGAGGGGGTGGGGGGCAGCCCGAGGGAGAGCAGTCACCTGGTTTTCTGGTGGCGAACAAAGCAAATCCACCGTCACATGGTGCTGCGGGGGGAGCCCAGGGTGGAGCAGGCCCGACTGGCCGTGGCATTCATGGGGTCACGCACCCAGGGAAAGGGCTCCTGGTGAGCACATGTCCATGGCCCCTGTACCCCACTTGACACAGCACGGCCCACACCACAGGCTGGGCCTGCATGCCCTGGGCACTGCCGGCAGGAGCACACTCAGGGCTTTAGTCTGCACACTCGTTGTGCCAGGACTCTGGCTCCTGCCACTGGCTCAGGGCTCGCAGATCCAGAGTGAGGCTGCTGGGCAGCCCACACCGTGACGCAGCCTTAACCGGGCCAAGGAAACTGGTCGGCAGAGTGAGCGCTCGTTGGGGCTCTTCAGGCAGGCACAGCCCCTCAGACGAGCCAATGTTCAGGCCCTCCTGCCTCCAACCCCATGACGGTTGTGAGATGACGCCACGGGCCAGGCGCAGACCCCACACGGGGTTTTGCCCACGCTGGCTGTTGAGAAGTAGCAGCGCTCAGGGCAGGAAGGACGTGTACACGACTCTTGTCGGGCAGCAGGTGGGCGCTGCTGCGTGCACACTTACAGAAAAGGGGCCAGAACGAGCGGGAACCACGCGGGGCCCTTACCTTGCTCTCGTCCTCAGCATCATGATAGCCACACGCGTCTATGAAATCTGGAAACGTCTCCGACCACCCATCCCTTGTGCAGTTTTTGCTTATGTTTCCTGGAAGATAAAGTCTCGGCATTAGGTTTGTGGGCTCCCAAGTGCTGGCCTCCGTGGTGACTGTGTAGGCCATGCTCACGGGGGACAGCCCTCTCTGCTGCCTCCCTCCGGTGGGTGGAGAGCGGAGCCTCGTCTCACTCCATTCACACACTTCACAGTGTGTGTGCGTTCACTGCCCCACCCCGGCAGGGCTCCTACCCACGGAAGCTGGGTCTTGAGGGGCCTGGGTGGATGGTGGGAGAGCTTCTGGGCCATGAAGCAAAGGTGCAGCTGTAATGGCTGGCATGGCTGCCGCTGTGAAGAAGCACAGTGAAAACTAACAGACTCATATTCTGTCCCGGGAGAGTTATCACCAAATCCCAGCCACGGCAGTACTGGCTACCCCACTCCATCCTACTCCGTGCCAGCTCTGGGCACGACCAGAGTGCACAGGCAGGCAGCACGTTACATCAGTGGAAGGTCAGTGATGGCAGAGGAAGAGACCGTGGGCATAAGAGTTAAATTGGATCACTGACTGTGATACTATATGTTGGCACATTGAACTTCAATTAGAAAATAAAATACATTTATATAGAAAAAGAAAAAATGCAGTTAAACAGAAATTGCAAATCAGTTGAATTTTGCACATATGTGGATTAAAAAATGAAAAAAATAAAGATAATTTCTAGGCAAGAAAAAAAGATTTAAATTGCATGAAATAAAGACAGTGTTGATCTTATAGCACCAGTTCTTTCTGCATGTAATTAATGTAATCGTGTGTGTTAAGCTCAGGAATGGAACGTTCCCTCTACCTAAAGGGTCAGGGCTCCTGGGCGACTCAGTTGGTTGAGGGTCTGACTCTCGGTTTCGGCTCAGGTCATGATCTCAGGGTTGTGGGATTGAGCTCCATGTCGGTCCCCATGCTCAGTGCAGAGTCTGCTTCAGATTCTCTCCTTCTGCACCTCCCCCAACCCACTCCCTCAAATAAATAAACAAACAAGTAAATAAATAGTCTTTAAAACAAAGGTGGTGTCCCCAGGAGGTGGCCACAGTCGGCACTGGGTAGTGACGAGTGACCTAAGGGGGCTCTGATGACCTGGGACAGGGCTGGGCCTTGCAGGGTGGGCTTCAGGAAGCTCAGGCCTGGGGAGGCGCTTCCTGCCGTCAGCGCCTAGAGGCTTAACCACTCAGCACCCACCAAGCTTTCTCCGGATCCCACGGCCCTCAAGGCTTCCAGAATAGCAAATATTTTCACTCATGGATCTCATCTCTTTGTTTTGGGCCAACACTGCAGGGCCGACCTGGGCATTACTGCTCCCGTTTTACAGGTGAGACTGAAGTTCAGTGACACGCCCAAGGTTCTATAGTGACTGAGTGGTGGAAATAGGGTTCCTTACTCAAAAACGCTTTCTGTTTTCTACACCAGGGCAGCCTACACAATCGATGGACCAGACAAGGTCAGGAGCAGGGTGCGTTCACACTGAGGTGATAATACACGTAAGTGATTCTCGGCCTGCTGTGTGGAGGCAGGCGGGGCAGCCCAGACCCTGACTCGCCCACCGGCAAGACAGTGGGGTTCAGAGGTCTCCACAAAGCCCCCAGCAGCATCACCTGGCCTGCCACCATAGCCCAACACCGCCATCCCTGTATTTTCCCGAGTCCAGGCCCCAAATCTCCTCCTGCTCTGGCTCCAGGAGAGCCGTGGGGGGACTTGCGGGGGGCTGGAGGGCGAGACATGTGGATAGTGGAGGCAGGACAGAGTCCTAAGGGGGGCAGGGCCCCCGAGACCAGGTTCCCCTGCCCTATTATATAGATAGGGAGATTGAGGCGCCCAGAAGGTAACGATCAGGAATCCGAATAGCAGAGGGGGTGAGGTCGCTGCAGGTTGCTCACTGAGCTCCTGCCATGAGCCAGACTTTGCACCGAGGCTCCCATGGACCCAACGGCGACATGGGGGGCACCTTTTAATGGTCCCACATCACAGGTGGGAGACCTATGCCCACAAGCAAGGGCCACGTTTCCATCCCAGGCTGCGGGGTCACCACGCAGCATGCTTGCTGTCCAACCTGTACACGCCCAGCTCCTGGGGACAAACCAGGAGGGATGCTGACCGGCCATCTCTCATTCGTTACAGCAAACAGTAAACTAAGGGAGATGCTTAAGCAAACTTTATTCCATGAGGTCGATCCCCCTCCACAGGTTCTCCATCTTGCCTGGCTTCACCTCCTCGAAGACACCTGGAGTCAGAGGAGGCAGCCATGTGCAGAAGGGGTGGGGAGGTGGGGTGGTGGGGAGATGAGGGGGGACCTGGGGAGGTGAGGGGGAACCTAGGAGGTGAGGCGTGCTGGTAGGCGAGAGGGGACCTAGGAAGGTGAGGGGTGCTGGGGAGATGAGGGGGATGTGGGGAGGTGAGAGGGAGCTAGGGAGGTGGGGGGTGCTGGGGAGGTGAGGGGGGCTGGGGAGGTGAGGGGGTCCTGGGAAGGTGAAGGGGAACTGGGGAGGTGAGGGAGGTGTAGGGAGGTGAGGGGTGCTGGGGATGTGAGGGGGGACCTGGGGAAGTGAGGGGGCTGGGGTGGTGAGGGGGTGCTGGGGAGGTGATAGAGGTGTGGGGAGGTGAGGGGGATCTTTGGAGGTGAGGGGGGCAGGGGAGGTGAAGGGTGCTAGGAAGGTGGGGGGGCTGGGGAGGTGATAGAGGTATTGTGAGGTAAGGGGGTATCTGGGGAGGTGAGGGAGGCTGGGAGGGGATGGGAGGCTGGGGAGGTGAGGAGGCTATGGGGAGGTGAGGGGGACCTGGGTTGGTGAGGGGGGACTGGGAGGTGAGTGGGGTGTGAGAGAAGCTTGGGGGTGAATGCAGGATGAGGGAAGAAAAGTGGGGGTGTGCACAGCTTTGGGCCCAGGAGCCACACCCCCTGCTCCATCCTCTGCGAGTGCACCTCCTCCCACCCTGACTGTGGGGCCACCTCCTCTCTGTGGGGTCGCTCACCTCACCCCTGGTGGGCCCCTTTCTTCATGAGCTCTGTCTGCGTGGCCCTTGGCCAGACTCTGAACGGTGCCTGTGCCAGCAGCTCCCCAAGGGTGCTCCCAGGGAAGTGTCCATGTGTGCGTGGCCAGGAGGAGGTCATGGCCGTTCGCTGCAGGAAGGCTGGAGTCTGTCGGGCATGGAGGCCCCTGCTCCCCAGACAACCACCCCCCCGACACTCCCGTGAGCACAGGTCTGGTGTGTGAGTCCTGGGGTGCAGTGTTGGTCAGGAGAGTGGCACAGCCCTGGGGACGTCCAACCCCAACGCCCGGCTCGTCTCAGGACGTGCTCGTGTGCTCCCAGGACAAGCAGGGCCCTGTTGCTGGTGACAGGGCAGGCCCAGCTATCCCCCAAACTCTACTCCTCTGGGGCGCGGGAGGCACCACGGCACCCCGAGACTCCAGCTTTTCCCATCACAGCTCCTCCTCCCTGGGCCCGGCCTCATCCCCATGTGGTGGTTTTCTGCTCTCCCTTTTAGAGACTTGATCTTGGTGCAGGGTCCCCGTGGCTTTATTGTTACTCGCACCCATGACTGAGTGCAGCTCAGAGGGGCTTTCCCCCACGGAGACAACAGAGAGCAAGGTGCAGCTGCCGTGACAACACGCACCGTGACAACACGCATGGCGACCGGGAGAGCCCCCCCGCCCCCCCCCCCACCTCCTGGATGTGTGAGAACTCAGATAACAACTTGTTATAAAAACATGGATCTATTTCCTGAATGTTGGGTCTGTGGGGTGAAGTGACCACATGTCCTTCTGTGACCTGGGCCTCCTACAAGTCCCCGTGAGGAGCACCTGGCATCTCTGTAGAAGTTTTCTGTAACTTGGGAAGTACGACCCAGGTTCCAGCCCGATTGGTTCTTGATGGTGTTTCACAACCAGCCTTTTACCTCCGTCAGATTTCCTCCGTGGGGCCTCCCCTGATGCCCCGTGGGCCCTGCCCCAGCCCTACACAGCCCCCAGCTCTGCAAGACGTCCGTGGTTCTCTAAGTAATTGCAAACACACCCCAACCATTCCACGCAGACGATGATTTAGATTTGTCAAGAGTCTGTGCAAGCACCTCCCGTGGACATTTTGCGACCTGTTAAACAAGGGGAGGCAAAGACACTTGAGATCATCAGCTGTGATACACAGACCGGGGACCTCCAGCAAATCTCCCAGTGGTAGTGATGTTCCCCACAGCAGCAGGCAGTGCCACGCTCCCTGCTTGGACAGAGCACCAAGCACTAACCCAATACAGCCCAGGATTCTAGTTCCCCAAAGGAGAGGATGCTCAATGGTTCCGAGCAGGGCCAGTGTCTACACCGACCTGGGCACACGTGGCCCAGCTGGCTCCTGCCTGGCCAGGGCTGGGTCTCACAACAGACACCCGGGGACCAGAGCTGCCGTGTTTGTCAGTGTGAAGACCCCTGGCTGCCCCCGGAAGCCTTTGGAGCCAAACCTCCGAGGAGGGGAAGCCTGGGTCTGTGCTCGTTCATTCGGGATTTCTGGGAGATTGCAGCCCAGAACCTTCAGCAGAAATGTTATTGATTAGACAGGATATTTTTTTAGAGTTCAGATTCTTTAAGATGGTTTAGTTTTTCTAACCTAGTGATGTGTATGCAGGCGTGACCTGGGCCTGCCCACAGTCTCACAGACTCACAGAGAAACAGTCTCATCTTGCAACAAAACCTTTTTCTTTAGAATCTCATTTTCCTCCATCCCAGTCTGTGCCACAACACTCCGCTTAAAGTATTTCAACTATTCTAGTTCTCAGGGTTTTTACCCTATAATGTTTGTTCAAGATGAAAACAAGGGGATCCCTGGGTGGCGCAGCGGTTTGGCGCCTGCCTTTGGCCCAGGGCGCGATCCTGGAGACCCGGGATCGAATCCCACGTCGGGCTCCCGGTGCACGGAGCCTGCTTCTCCCTCTGCCTGTGTCTCTGCCTCTCTCTCTGTGTGTGTGTGATTATTATAAATAAATAAAAATTTAAAAAAAATAAAAGCAAACATTAAAAAAAAAAAAGATGAAAACAAGTCCTCTACAGACTCCAAAGTATCATGCCTTTCTGATTTCCAGATGTCTCTTCTCTTTTCTATTTTTCCAGATATATTTCTTCATGTTATGAAAATCTGGGGGAACCCTGGGTGGCTCAGTGGTTTAGCACCTGCCGTGGCCCAGGGCATGATCCTGGAGTCCCAGGATCGAGTCCCATGTCGGGCTCCCTGCATGGAGCCTGCTTCTCCCTCTGCCTGTGTCTCTGCCTCTGTCTCCCTTTCTCTGTGTTATCTCATGAATAAATAAATAAAATCTTTAAGAAAAAAAAAAAGAAAATCTGGATGGTTTACAACACAACACGCCACCACTACCCTCTCGGGAACAAGCCAGGAGGTGTTGCAGGGTTGTGCAGACAGCGAGCACAGGACGGGGGCACCCTCACTCCCAGGCCCTCTGACCCTGGAGACCGAGACTCTGGGTCATCTGGCCACAGGGGCCCAGTTCAGAAAGTGGGGGCTGGGAGTTGAGGACACTCAGCCCAGTGAGTGTGATGTTTCCTGTGGATGAGAAGCCACCTCTGGGTGCAGAGGGGCTTGCCGCTGTCCCTGAGCCTCTGGGAGATGGTCTCTGGGCCTACGGGCAGCCACACACAGCAGGGAGCACGGAACCACGTCCACGTTCCAGGTGCCTGAACCCCACGGCTGCCCGCACACGGGTGCTCAGGCCACATGTCATGGTCGGGATTGGGCGTCTGTGCTGACCTGAGGCCTGCTCTCCCCTGTGTTTGGTTTCAGGTGGCTGACCTGGCAAGAAGCTTCTCACCCTCCCGCTCCGACAGCCAGTGCAGCCCGCGATGCCGCAGCTGCTCATGCACCCGCTAGAGCAGGCAACCAGTGAGCCTGCTTCTCGTGGTTTGAGGGAGTGGCTGCCCTGCAGCCTCTGCAGGTGCAGATGTGACAGTACCTGGTTTGCTGTAAAAGTTGCTGAACACTTTAGGACAGGGTACTGTGACGGTCTCGCCTACGTCTGCAGGGCGCCAGCAGGTAATGTTGTCCCAGACACCGGTGCAGGCTGCAGGGAGAGACACATGTGAGAAGCCAAGGCTGCACAAGGGGAGCACAGGCGCCGCTGCCCATGGGGACGCCCAGGCCCAAGAGGCACATCTGTCTAAGCCTCTGCAAGCCGACTGCCCGGTATTTAGATAATCACCTTGTGAATCACTTGTCTGTGAAACAAGTTTGCACCAACAATGTTACTGAGCATATTCTTAGCTTGTGTACTCACTTTAATCAGGTTTGGAGAAACAACCAGATGTGTGGTATAAAGTAATTGAATATTTCAGTGTGTGCCACGCATGCAGGATTTTAATAGAAACCGGCAGTTACTTTTCTCCTGCTGATGTGCATCCCCCAGGGTAACGACATGGGTACCACTGGGGGTCTGTGTGAGTCCTGAAGGCTTAGGCTCCCTGGGATGAATGCACACTTGTGCCTTCAGGGCATCCAACTTTGAGGATAATTTGCAAATTTAAATATTTGATAAGTTTACTTGATTTTAACAGTCAAGGAAGCATCTAAGTGTTCACCACTTAGGTTACCCTCATGCAGTTATCAGATAACCTAATTTACAAACTGCTCTCTGGATCTCTCACGGGGTCTCAGCAAGACCCCGCCCTGTGCAAAGCCTACAAACCTGTGTCTGTTGACCCGGACAGGCAGCAGAGAGCTCTCAACAGCACACAATCCCTGAGCAAATCCATACTTGAACTCACAGCTTTTTACTACAAGTCCAAACAAGGTATTGCTACTATATTTTGTGACTTCTAAAGTTTTATCTTTCACTTAAAGTTCAATGTTGGCGGACCAATGTGCTAGCCTTGATGGAGACAACAAACCAACCACAGTTCTCTCTGACGGGCCAGCCAGTCTGACACAGAAACATTCACGGAGCATTCGCTTGGTTTGAATAGGAGGATTCTACTTCAAGAATGCAGATGCCTCTGATGAAGTGGCTAGGAGTCCAGTTTTCCAGATGAAAATACTTTCTAAAGGTCTTAAAATAAAAATATATTTATTCTAAAAATTCATTAACATGGCAGTGATTAAATGAGCACAGTGATTTATGAGCACATAAATTCACACCATATTAACGTTCTTACATATTTAAATTTTTAAAAGATTTTATTTATCTGAGAGAGAGAGAGAGGGAGAGGAGGAGAGGGAGGAGAGAGAGAGGGAGAGGAGGAGAGGGAGTAGCAGGCTCCCTGCTGAGCAGGGAGCCCGACATGGGACTCGATCCCAGGACCCTGAGACCATGACCTGAGCAGAAGACAGACGCTACACTGATGGAGCCCCAGGCTCCCCTCACATTCTTACATATTTAAAGAAAATACTGCTTTTGAAGAAATATTCAGAACAAGTCTTCAAGTACAAGTGAGTGGCTGGCTCCCCAGGAGTGTGCCAAGGCTGGAGAGCAGGGCAGGCGGTGGTCCTGCAATGACAGCTCACATGACACCATCCACTGTTGGCACAGGAGGCAGAGGCCTGGACAGGACAGGGCCCGGTTCCCAACAGAGAGCCAACAAGGGACAGTGGGGGTATCCAGATCTCCCAAGAAGCACAAGCGGTGCCGAGACTGCCCCACTGGGAAGGCAGCTCGTTCCGAACATAGGCCATCGGTCATTGGGGAGGGTCAACAGTCGTCAACCCAAAAATGACAAATTTCTGTTTCAATAGTGAGAACCTTAATGGAGAGATATAAAATCCATGGGTTCATTGCAGTCCATCTTCATATTACAGCAGGACTTGACTTAAGTTCCTAGAGTACACTGGATCACCCCTTCTGTTGCTGGCAAGCCCTCGCCCTGTTTATATGTGTACTGGGCCCTCACGCACCGGCTGTACAGGCCTTGGGCAATAGTGGCAGAGGCGCCTTCCCACCTATGCCCCAGCGGGGAGCCACACGACTGGCCCAGGCTGAGAGCACCGAGGGCCAGAGGCCAGTGTGGAGGCGGCCCCGTCTGCAGTGAGTCTGAGGGGAGGAGACAGCCAAGTAGGAGTCCACGAGCTTCTCGATTCTACTTCCCTAATCCCACGAAAATAACATCAAGAAGTCTGAAAGGGCAGCACTCGGAGAGGTCAATAAACATGGAGGAGAGAACGCATACACCCGGCCTAAGAAATGAGGGAGGCGGAGGGAGGCACCGCGCCTGCAGAAGGGTGAGGAGCATGAGGAGGTAAAGCTTGCCCCCGGGGGGGCTCTGGACGCAGGACACCAAGCACTGGACTCAAGAACATCACATCATGTTTGAATTCTGAACACGGAGACCTCTGTCCTTCCTGCCCCTGCCAGGTTTGTCTGGGGGCTGAGCATATGCCCCGTGACCAGAAGAGACCCTTGGGAGGCCCCAGGCCAATCTGACCAACCAAGGCAGGAGGTATATGATTGTCTTGAGAGCATTTTGTTGTTTTGTTTTGTTTTTTAATTTTTTTTTAATTTTTATTTTATTTATGATAGTCACACAGAGAGAGAGAGAGGCAGAGACACAGGCAGAGGGAGAAGCAGGCTCCATGCACCGGGAGCCCGACGTGGGATTCGATCCCGGGTCTCCAGGATCGCGCCCTGGGCCAAAGGCAGGCGCCAAACCGCTGCGCCACCCAGGGATCCCCATTTTGTTGTTTTGGTACAAAGTGTGATGCTTAATCACTGACAGAAACATAGAAAAGAAAGGAATAGAAAAATCAGGCAGGAAAAGCATAAAGTCACACAAGGAAGGAAATATCAATTGTTATGAGGTCAACTGTGATCCAACAATGACGACAGGACTCAGCTGGAGGGCAGACTGGAGGAGGGACAGGAGAGGACAGGCAGGAGTCCTTCCCAATAAAAGAAAAGTGTGAGCCAAGGCAATACATTTGGAGAAAAGGCTAGTTTGAGAACCAGTGAGCAGTGTAGATGGTGTCAGACACAGTGGCCCAGTGAGGCAATCAGCCTGCATGCGGAATTCATTTTTCTGACACTTTGGCAGCAACCTTGGGAATTAAGATGGTGATAAGGATGTCAGTTGGTCTGGAAGGGAAAGCGTTTGTTCATATCAATAGACTCTGAAAAGTCATCTGACAAAGTTTAGCAGCCATTCCTCATTTTCAAAAACTCTTAATGAGACTCCTTTAATGTAACAAAGATCATTTGTTTAAAATGGCAGGTATGGGGATCCCTGGGTGGCGCAGCGGTTTGGCGCCTGCCTTTGGCCCAGGGCGTGATCCTGGAGACCCGGGATCGAGTCCCACGTCGGGCTTCCGGTGCATGGAGCCTGCTTCTCCCTCCGCCTGTGTCTCTGCCTCTCTCTCTCTCTCTGTATGACTATCGTAAATAAATGAAAAAAATTTTTTTTTAAAAAATGGCAGGTATGGTTAGAAATGATTAAACTCCGTGAGCAACCACAGGCAGGGACCCACCCGGATCCTGGCCGACACTGGTTACTTAACGGAAGTCAGAACTCTGCTAAAACAGTAAGAACAAGAGGATGAACCAAGTGGTACACGCTCATATACAGCTGAGGACAAAGTCTGAGAACCGCACTTTCCAATTTGGCAGCCCAAGCTTCTGTGACCTTTTCAATTTCAATCTAAATTAGTTAAAATCAAATACAATAACAATTCAGTTCCTCCTTTGCAGGAGCTGGACAAACGCTCCATAGCCACGCGTGGTCTGTGGCGACAACAGCACAGCACAGATGGGAACAGCTCGTGGCCGCAGGGAGTTCCCCGGGACGGCACCCTCCTGCAGCTCCAGCCAACACAGGCCCCCCCACTGACCGACACGCCAGGCTCGCAAGTCATCCAGAGGCTTAACGCAGAGAGAGAAGATCACAGAAGCCGTGACCATCCCAGGGCCGCTGCTGAGGGTCCCCTCGTCCAGCAGATGAGACTTTCTCCACATGGTGTTTACCAGCTAAAACACCCATGTAAATTATCTAACATGTTTTATGAATAAATATGTGAGTTTTTGTTAAAAAGTGTATTTTTCACTTATCACACAAATATTCTCTGTCTTTCAAAACCCACCAAGAAGATGGAGGAGAAGCCTCTTCCTTAAGCGATGGTTAGCAGCCTGGCGAACTGAAAGCCAGAAAAAATGCCTCTGACATCTATTAATTCGAAACATAAAGTGTGTGTTTATTTCTGGAACTTGAGACATAAAGCCAGCGCCTTTCCCTTGAGTCTGGACCTGCTGATGGGGCTCCGTGCGTTTCTTCTGCGTGAACGCACCTTGTCTGTGATTTCTTCTTTGAGGGTCTGCAGGGCCGCCGACAACTCCGGCCACGTGAGCTCCCGGAGCAGCCCCTGCCACCCCTGGCAGCTCCAAGTCCACACTGCCCGCCGACCGCTCTCCCTGTTTTTCCCAGGACAAACGCATGACCTGGGCAGCTGGGTCAGTGACGGGTCCAGGATGCACCGGTAGGGTGCAGAGTCTCCTGGGGGCTTCAGGAGGAGCCAGGTGGGCGGGGGCTCGGCCAGGAGCCACCAGAAGCTGCCAGGAGCCCCCCAGGAACTGACCAGGAGCCCCCCAGGAGCCCGGCCAGTTTCAGGGGCAAAGCGAGGACAGGCCCCAATGGAAACAATCATCTAGACCAAGCGGCTCAGGAACACTGACCTGCATGTGCAGCCTCGAAACACTGTTGGCGGCGCAGACAGGACACTGATGAATATGGGTTAGGAGACGCGGTTCCTGGAATGTGCGGGAGATACAGGCACATGGGACACACCTGAACCTGGGATCCTCTTGTCAGAGCGCAGGGTCCCACCCAGTGGGGGGGAATCTGCCATAACGAAAAGGAAACGGATGCCCTCGTAACCAGTTTTCTCTCCAACATATTTCCAGGCAAGTCAGGACTCTCACAGATGACGGTGCACGTGTTGTTTTCAGGTTTGGATTTTGTTCTCATTTCTGCAGTGACATCAACATCGAGGAATTTTCTGGAGAAGCACACCGTGCACCTCACATTCATGTTACTGTCTTTGTAGGGAGGGGCCCGTGGGCGCGCTGCATGAGGCTCCCAGTGGGCAAGG